GACTCCTACCCACACCCTCCTATGCCTTGTCTCTTCTATTGACATCACTATACCCCGAATCAAACAATCAAGCACTCACTGTTGATGACTTACACATCAACAACCATTGTCAACATCATCTCCACGTATTAGTATCTTATCAACTTGCATGACTAAACTCGAGAGTACTCCTCCCATCCATCTTTAATGTTGGGTTAGCAAAGCGAGTTATATACCGGTCCGGTCATCCACCTTTCCAAAAACTGTAGCGTCTATCTAATTTATTGATCTATCCATTCATCCCTCGCATTTATCTACAAATCGCAAGAAGATGATCTGAATGTTTACTTCGAGCCTTGCTTGCCATCACTAAACGACACAACAGCCCACTTGCCGCTCCAGGCCCATCTGCGAGCTTCGGCGCCGCCGCCGTCAGGCAGAGCGCGGAGCTTCTCGTCTACGCCGGCAGGGAGACCGACCACGACGTCGGCCTTGCAGGTCCGGAAGGCCATGACGCGGATGCCGGAGTCGGGGCGGCCGAGGGGCCCAATGGCGGTGGTGAAGGGGGTGGTTGGGTCCCAGGTGGACTTTAGAGGGATGTTAGGTTTACTTGATGCTCTTATTTGTCTGAAAGCAGATACTCACATCATTGGTTAACTTGCGGTAGTTGAGATCGCCCTTGAAGAGAACGAGTTCACTCTGCTTGAGATCCTCGTAGAGATCCGGGGCGAGGTACGGCATGCGCCAGTATCCGCCGGGGAGGGTCCAGAAGGCGTGGGGGCGGATGATGAGCTTGCCCTCGGCGTGGAGGTGGCTCCAGTGGTCGAACAAGAAAGTCACCTCGGAGAGTTCCTTCTGGGACAGCGGGTCGTGCGTGCGGCCGGACTCGTCGGCGGCGGTGAAGAAGCCCTGGGCGTCGGCGAGGGCGTTGATGAGGGCCATGAAGTCCGGCGGGGTGACGTCGGACACGAACCACGGGATCACCTTCGGGTGGAGGACGACGGTCGTGGCCAGCCCCGCGGAGAGCAGGTAGCCGGCGAGGATGAGGTCGACGAACAGCTCGAAGCCGGAGTTGTCGAGGACGATGTCGACGCGCCGCTCGTGGTGCTTGCGCTCGCGCCGGGCCCGCTGCAGCACGTCGAAGGCGGCGTCGAGGTCGTTGACGAGGATGTTCTCCTCGGCGGCCTTGCGGGCCTTGGAGCCCTGCAGCTTCTGGATGTCCTCGTAGGTGAGCGAGGTCAGGAGGGACAGGTCGGTGGCGTTGCCCCACAGGCAGATCTCGCACATCTCCGAGAAGAGCACCCGCTCCGCCTGCTCGACCTGCTCCGCGCTGCGGCCCTCGTTGCCGCCCTTCTCGGCTTCCGTGGCCAGCTCCTTGTATCGGGCCGCCAGTTCGAGAACAGCAGGACGGGATGACTTGAAGGTCGAGAGCTTCTGCCGGGCGAACACGTCATAGCCCTTCCAGTGTTTGGAGAGCGAGAAAAGGGTGCTCAACCGTCTGTCTGATTATATCGTCAGCGCCAATTGCCCAAGCCCCGGAGCTCAATATGTCACGCACAGAGATAGCATTCTGAGTATAGCCACGAGACATCGTGCCACGCCGGGTTCCCTCGTTCTTCGAGCTCCTTGTTGTAGTCTGCGATATCGGGTTGGCCGTCGTCGGGAAGGGGGCTGTCGACGGCATGGCCATGTTAGATGATTTGGCACCGGCATTGTACAGGTCAAAGTCTCACGTCAATTGTCTGTTATGCTGCAGCTCATACTTGAATGCTGCGAGCTTCTCGGTGATTTCCTTTCCTTCCCGGCGCTTCTCCTCATCGGTTGTCTCGCTAACGGTGCGGTGCAGGTCATCAATGGCACCTGTCTGCGTTATATCGTTGTCATCAGCATTACATGCCAGTGATCTATCAGGGACAGACGTACCAAGATGACCGGCCAGCGCTCACGAGCCGAGACGGAGGCAAAGCTGGACTGATCGGAAGTGAGATACTGCGCTGGTGGAGAGGGAAAGGCGGGGTCAGTCAAATACTGGTTGGTTGAAGAGAATCAAATGAGGGACTTACGGGTTTTTGGGTCGTACTCCATTGTGTAATATTAGTATAAGAGAAATGAAGATTCTAAATATACAAAAGAAAGAAGAAGAAGAAGAAGAGATGGTGTCTGAAGAACAGAAGAATGATGGAGGGGAAGGGAAGTTGAACCTTGAAGAATCGCGGGGTTGCCGCGCTCGGAAATCCCTCCGCCCCGCAGCCAAACCATTATCAATCAGTCATTCTCTAATTTAATTGCGCTGCGGTCTATTCGTCTGTCTAGAAAGAAAGAGAGGGACATTTGCTATAACCATCAACCATCCAAAGCAAAGCAATGGAACAACAAACAAGCACAATGCACATGCAGATAAAAGGCAATTCCGCACGACAGCCGCCAATCCAACACCGCTCAGACCTGCTTGCACATGCCGGGCAAGAAGCGAAATAGCAATGAAGATGAGAAAGAATCAAGAACAAAGAATAAAGAAGAGCACGAAAAGATAGAAGAAAGAAAAAGAAAACACCCCTCAGATCCAGAACGATAGATTTAATCCGCTATGCAAAACAAAATGGTCCTCAAGGTCGTCATCAATCAAAAATCATTCAATAGATACATCGCCCTCGTACTGTGGGTCCTGAGGCAATCCATCCGAATCCTCGTCCATGTATTCGGAATTTCGCCTCCAAGCCGCGAGGCTTTCCCTGCGTTCATCAGTCCAAGTCAGAAGAATGGGGCTCACATCATAGACATGAGGGAGCTTTGTGCGTAGGCCTGCGGAGCGTTTTAGCGTCTGTGTATTCGTCTTTGTTGGGGTCAGCAGGACTTACCATCGGCTTGATGTCAGGGTGGGGAACTGCCTCGAAGACCTGGTACTCAAGCTTGAGCTCAGGCCCAATCTTGATGAAAGCGCCCTTGTTCTCGGTGGAATCGCAGTACTTGGGCGCCGAGAACACCGTGATGCAGCGACCATCATGCTCAACCTCGTAACCCTCCATGCGAACCTCGTGCGATCGGATGATCGCCTCCAGTCCGTTCTTCTCACAGAAGCGCTTGGTGACGTCGGGTCCGAACTGAAGACCAACACCGCGCTTGCTGGGTCCACGACCAGGTTGGGTCTGCGGGTCGGTCCAGAGCATCTCCATCATCAACCCCTGCTGGCCCGGCTGGCGCTGGTTGTGGCGGTTCAACTTGCGGATATCATCAAGGGTAGTGTTGTCGTCGGAGAAGAGACCACCGTGGAGAACAAGGTACTTGTTACCGATCAACGTGGCCAAGGGCAGAGCGGAGAAGGACTCCGAGAAGACCTTGAAGGTGGTCTCGTTGTACTTAGCCTTGCACTCGCCCTCAAAACCGTACACCTTGTTCATATCGTCCGTCTCGTGGTTGCCACGGTTCAAGAAGATGCGGTTGGGTCTCAGCCACTTGTACGCGTAGAGAAGCAGAGCAATCTCGGTCGACCACGACCCCCGATCCACAAAGTCACCGTTGAAGAGATAAGCATTCGTCTCGCTCGGGTAGCCGTTCAACCGGAAGATCTCAAGCAGGTCGAAGTATTGTCCTGTCCCACGATCAGTCTTCACCAGAAAACCAGAAAACAAGAGCACGCTGGGGCCCTACCGTGCGTATCACCACAGACCGTCAAGCGGGTGCCCTCCTCGACGCCGACCTCCACCATCGTCGGCTCAGCGTAGACGATGTCCTTCACGGCCTTGATTATTTGGAAGACGTACTTGCGGTGAATCTTCTTGCCGTTCTTGAACCGCTCGATCATATCGTCGATGAACTCCTGGGTCATCTCGTTCTTCTCCAACCGCACGCCATCGTAGCTAGCATCCACAGCAATCGAGTCGATGTCCAGGCTCTCGAAAGCCGAGGGCGGGTCGCTGACTTCGATGGCCTTCTCGAACTCCAGCCGGCGGACCAGCTTCTCACATTCGGCGAGCTTCAGCTTCGCATCGCGGTTTCCCGGATCCCGCTTGACCACCGCCCTGAAGTCCTTGAGGGCTTCCTTGTAGTGCAGAATGGCGCTGTTCGCAAGGGCTCGTCTCCAGTATGCCTAAGTGATGTGGCGTTGGTCAGAATATATAGACCACGCGCAGGCGCTTAAACGCATCCAGGACGTTGAACAAACCTTGATGAAGTTGGGGTCGAGCTCCAGTGCCTTGGTGGCATCTGCAATCGCAAATCCGTACGCTTCAAGCTTGATATGCGCCTAGATCTCCCGAACGCCACCCAGCCAAAGTATCAGTATACAGGAAACCGCCACATTAGGGAGGGAGATCGGGGAGAAACTGGCGAGACTGCCTAGGACAGCAGCGCGACATACCTGAGCTCTGTTGCTGAAGAAGGTGGGTTCCTTGTCGTACTTCTCTATCGCCTGTGTGTAGAAGTCGATGGCGGCGGGCCATTCATGTTGCGCGAACGCCTTGTTCCCCTGCGCCTTCAGCGCAGTGGCAGCCTCAAGATCGGAGGACGCCATCGGAAGGATGATAAGGTGTTGATAAAGTGAGAGGAGAGTGTGGATAGCAAGAGGGCTGGTAAAAATGAGGTGGATGGCAAGGGGGAGGTTTTCGGCAGGTGAGCACGCGGGAACAAATTAATTATTGTAAGGGAAGAGGCGGGGAGAATTGAAGAGAGCGAGAGAGAACGAGAGAGGCGACGATGATGATGATGCAGTGAGCCCGACACCAAAGGGGACAGTATGGAGTCACGGTCAGTACCCAAATAGATAACAATGTAAGAGAATGAAATAAGACCAGGAGCAATCTCAACTGATAAAAGATCTTTGATCTCTGGCAAAGCTGTGAACAGCTAGTCAATCAATCAATCAATCAATCAATCAGCCGCCATGAAGCACTTCCGAGGATTTATTTGATGTCCGCCCGTTTTCTCCGGTCTTGGCAACTCTCCCGGTCCGATTCGAGAACCTGCGACCACCACCGTGACCGGACCTTTCACTCAACCTTGAATTCCTTCATTATCGCCATTCATTCTGCTCTATCAATCCTATTGTCCCCTCCCCAGCAAAGCATCCAACCCTGTCGCGGCTCCCTCCACAGCGTACCAGCCTTCGATCCAGCCCAGCATTCCACCCTCGCAACAAAGAAACAAAAAAACACACATAAGGGCACGCACCTCTGGCCGGAGTCCAGCTCAGCGACACTCCGTTGACCTCCTCAACCTCCAAACCAACCAGCCAACCAACCAACCGCATAACTTTCAACCAAAGGAAAAATGTCCTACTACGTCGCGCCCAGCCAGCAGCGCACTCTCCGCGCTTGCATGGTCTGCTCTCTCGTCCAACTCCACAGCGTGAGTCGAAAACCCAACTCCCCGAACCAGCTTTCTCTTTCACTACCACAACCCAATCCAATCCATACTGCCTCCCACACCATAGCCTTACCCATGCCCCTCATCCAAAAGCTAACATGATATCCTTTTGCCACCGCAATGCAGAAATTCATGCGCGAAGGCTGCCCCAACTGCGACAACGTCCTCGGCCTCCGCGGCAACAACGACGCCATCCAAGAATGCACATCCCAGGTCTTCGAGGGCCTGCTGACACTCCGGGACCCCACGACCAGCTGGGTGGCTCGGTGGCAGCGGCTGGATAGCTATGTCCCCGGGACATACGCCGTCAAGGTGACCGGTTCGGTGAGTGTTTTTTTCGGCGCGCATGGGCCTGGCCCATACCACCGGTGTGGTCCATGGACTAAACCTTTCGCAGCTTCCGGATGAGATTATTTCCAGCTTGGAGGACTCGGGGATCAAGTACATTCCGTATGTTGAGCCATACAGTCCCTCCATCTTGTGTTTCTGGGACACGTCCTGGCAGCAGCAGAAGCAGAAGAAGAAGCTTACTGACTGGTTTTATTTATAGGAGGGATGGTAGCACTGGTGAAGAGGAGGCGTAGGAACGGGGCCACTCGTTTCGATATTTGCTGAATGACGGAGGCCGCGCGGCCTAGAAATTCTGGGTGGAAGGGGAGGTGGCTTTCTTTTTTTCTTGTTCCTTGCGCGGATGCACAACACTGGAGTTTTGGTTAGGTTGTTTTCTCGTACTATATGCGATTCCGGGAAACATGGTTGCTTGCCCCTTGGTTTTCTTTTTACTGCGCCGGGGTTGCTCGTCTATTCTTATTTTTCCAAAGACGAGCTTTCAGAAAGGTTCAGAAGATCAGCCCCAAACAATGCTCGATACCCGATTAGATGAATGTTCAATGTTGCCTTCCTGATGGCATCCAATTGCTATTTCTCGATGCTAACATAAATACAAGGCATCAACTCATCATACTCATACGCTGCTGAATTTGGCTCAAGTAGAACGCAAGAAATGAACCCAATCAATTGCCGACCCGCCCGATGTACCACTGAACGCCAGATTTCAATCACAAATATCCCAGATAAAGAAGAAATGTTGGTAGCCAATCAAGCCGCTTTACAACTGCTTGATGATCTTCTCAACGCTCTCCAAGAGGATATCAGCTGCATACAATGTTAGCCTCAGGCCATCTTACTCCTGTCAGGTGATACCGATCTGACTTACCATGGTGCTTCTGGAAGATCAACATGGGCCTCAGGCGAACGGCGCTCTGGCCGCTTCCTCCAATGTTGACGCCGACGTTCTTGGCCTTGGCCAAGAATTCATCACGCTTGGGAGAGTCCCAGGCAATGAAGGTACCCTGGCCCTTGCCACGGAGGTTCTGCAAGTGCTCGGGGTACTGCTTAGCAAGACGCTCGAGACCGGCGAACAGGTAGTCACCAGTGATGGCAGTGTTCTCCACCAGGTTCAGGCGCTCAATCTCCTCGGTGATACCGCGGAAGATGAGGGCACGGGCCGGGTCACCCATCCAGGTGTTGAACTGACGGTAAGGCTTGTTGGGGCGCAGAGCGGGGTTTCCGTAGTAGTATCCGGCAGTTTGGGCCTTCTTGGAGAAAGTCACAATATCGGGGGGAGTCGTCAGGTTCCAGTGGTCATGGGCCCAGAACTTTCCAGTAGCGCCCACGCCGGTCTGCACCTCATCAACGATGAACAGGACATTGTGGCGCTTGGTGATGTCGCGGAGACCCTGGAAGAAAGCAGGAGAGGCGTGGTTGTCACCACCCTCCGACTGGATAGGCTCAACCACAACAGCTGCCACAGGGTTGTGGAACTCCTTAATTAGACGCTCAACCTCCTGCAAGCAGCGCTGCTCCTCCTGGGCATTCTCCGCGGCATGCTCCTCCAAGGGGTACTTGAGCGAGGGGAAGGGAGCCTGGGGCCAGTCAAAGGCAGGAATATCAAGCTTGTGGATAGGCTTGCTGCGGGTAGTAGACAGACTACCGAAGAGACGGCCGTGGAAGGCAGACTTGAAGGACATGATCGACAGCTGAGGGGACCCCGGGGACTGGTTGTTCATGGTAGTCTGCAGCTCCTCCTCGGTGAACTCCTTCTCGGCACCACCACGCTCGCGCTGGCGGTAGTACATGAAAGCCGCCTTGTAAGCAGTCTCGTTGGCATCGGAACCAGCCAAGGCAGTGAAGACCTGATTGAGACCCTTGGGAGCAACCTTGAGAATGCCCGTGTTCAAGATGTCGGCCCAGTCGTGAGAGGGGAAGTTACCCAGAGCGGGTCTGTTAATCAAGGCATTGACCATCTCGGGAGACTCGGCCACTTTGCGGAGGTGAGGGTTGTTGTAACCAACAGGGATGGAGGCAATCTGGGCGTAGCTGTCGCCGAGAACCGCGTTAGATGCGAATCAATATGTTGGTGATATGTTAAGGATCAAAGGAAGTATGGTAGCTTACACATCAAGGAGAAGGTTTCCGTCAGTATCGGCGATGCTGCGGTCGATAATTAGCTACTAACTCCTGATTCAAAGCGATAACCTGGAGGGGCTCAAAAGGCATACTAGTTTCCAGTAGACTTGTAGTAGTCAGCCAGCATGTTCAAGCTGCGCACGTCAAAGACCTGATCCAGCTTCTGAGCAGCAGCCTTGTTGTTGGGGCCGGGAATGGCGGTGGCCAACTTGGGAGCCGTGGGCTCATCGGGGAAGAATGGCTTCTCAGCAGCCCGCAAGTGGGCAGTGGTGCTGAGGGGGCGGACTGCCGACAGGCGAGTCGCCGTGCGAAGCTTGAGGCTGGAGCGGAAGACAGCTGCCATTGTGAAAATACAGGGAGATTGTTTGGTGGGTGGTTTGGGTAGAAGAGTAGAATAGTTATCCCTTGTGCCAGGCACAACCAGGACAAAGAAGCGGAGTGGAGAGGGATGATAACGCGATGACGACAGATAAGGGATTGAGGGGAGAATAGTAGGATAGGTCGCCCAACCAGCCAAATAGTCGACAATCAGCAGAAAAGATTGAAGAGGAGGCTGCAAAAGACAGTCAAAAAGATAATTGACACTTGGAAATCAAGAACAAAAACTCCCCTCCAAAATTTGGCGGCGCGGCTGGTTAAATAGCAGACGGCGGTGCGGAGGGAGAAGCAGCTCATGCGGAAGCTGCCCCGCGCCAGAGAGCTCTCCTCGGCGATGTGGACCAATCACCACCCCGGATATGCCCGTGCTCGGCGATCCAGCAGAGGCGCCGATAAAATGGAGACTCACAATCAGTCCTGATCACTCGACTATCAGTAGCATTAATTATCCATTTCCTCATCATCCGGTCCGATTGCTGTCCGGACTGTGTTTCTCCCGGAACGACTTTCCCTTTGCAATAGGGCTTCACAGTTGCAGCGATGAGAAACAGCAGCTGAGCCCACGATGTGGAAGTTGGAGACAGCTTCCAGTTCCCCAGATCACTCTTATCGATCGGCTTGGCAGGCAAGATAAGGAATGTTCCTTCACAATTGAAGCTAGCAACGGTTTCGACGAGTATGCGGGCTTCTATCACCAAATATTTCCGACATATACGACCCCATTGACATGGGTTGTCGTGGACTTTCAGCTTTTCCAAAACGGAGAAATTGTTCAGCTTAGTGTCGTCAACCACGAACGTCTGCCTTCTTTTTAGCACCCCTGCGGTCACAATCAACGACCACAACACTTCCGTTTCGCATCACCACCCGCACGATAACAGACCTCTCCGAGCCAACCACAACACCGACTCCTGAACACGAGCACTTCTTCCGTTATACGAGTGGACGGTGGCTCTGGGATGAAGAACAGCAGCTCCGGGACAGGTATAAGGTCTTTGATGTTGCTGCACTCCAAAGCCTCGCGGCTAAAGCCGTTCGATCAGACATCTGCATCTCCATAACGAAGTTGGCCGAAGGAGGATATAATAAGGTCTTCCGTTTGATCATGAATGATGGCAAGAAAGTGCTTGCCCGGATACCAAACCCAAATGCCGGCCCAGCGTTCCATACAACTGCATCCGAAGTTGCTACCATGGAGCTTGTAAGTTCACCTTAAAGCCAAGTTAACCGCAAGGGCGGCCAGTTCATGCCTGATCCTAGGCCCGAGATTTCCTTCAAATCCCCGTGCCTCGAGTCCTTGATTGAAGTGCCACGTCAAAGAACGCCGTTGGCTCGGAATATATCATTATGGAAGAAGCATCTGGCACACAGCTTGGAGTCATCTGGGATCAGCTGAATCCGGATAAAAAACTATCCATCATGAGGGAGATAGTGACCGTCGAGTCAAAGATGCTTGCGGTGTCGTTTTCTCAGTAAGTGAATCCATTTAAATGATAAATGCGTGTGTGAAATCTTATCATCTCGTCAGCTTTGGTAGTATATATTTTGCGAGCGAGGCAGTGGAAAGCGCAGTTCCAGCGCTGCTCACCAACGGCGCTTCCTCCGAACTGAAAGAGAGAGTGCGCAAGAGATTCAGTATTGGGCCTACCGTCGACCGAAGCTTTTGGAAGAAGGAACGCTCGTCGATGCAGATCCCGCGGGGTCCTTGTAAGCATTCTCAGATCGCCGTTCCAAACTTTTGCTTGTACTAATTGCTATCAGGGCGAACGCCCCAAGAATATGCGCTAAGTGTCGGTCGGCGTGAACGGGAGTGGATCAAACGGTTTGCCATCTCAAAACCATCAAGCGAAGCTACTCTCATTTCCCCGGCCCAAAATAGTCCACAGGCACATCTGCAGCTGTTGGAGAAGTATCTCCAAGTGGCTCCTGCTCTGATGGACATTGACCCCGTTCTCACTCGCCCTACGTTATGGCACGGAGACCTTCATTCATCGAATCTATTTGTTGATGAGGGCCGTATCACGGCTGTCATCGATTGGCAAGGCTCGTGGGCCGGGCCGCTCTTTCTTCAATCCCAACCCTCCCCGATCGTGGACTACCCAGGCAGCATTCTACTTCAGCGTCCCGGCAATTTCGACGATCTGGACCCAGAGCAGCAAGCGGAGATCAAGCAAAAAATCTTCAAATCGACGCTATACCAGCTCTATCTTCTGAAGACGAAAGAGCGGAACCCTCTTTTTGTCCAGGCATTCCATCTAGACCATGGGAAGACAAGGCGTCTACCGGTCGAATTGGCCGGAAACACATGGGATGATGACATAGTCTCTTTCCGTGACGCACTCATCAACGTTGAAAGGTAGCTATCTCATCACTTCAGTCCCATCTTCCTTTTTTTTGAGGTTATCTGATCTTTTATCTCCAGACATTGGCAAGAACTTGGCATCCAAGGCGAATGTCCTTATCATTTCACGCAAGATGAACTACATAGCCACGCCGTCGATGCCGAGGGCTGGTATGAGGTCCAGGAGTTCTTCGACCGTATAGAAGGTCTTGTGAAACGAGATGGCTGGACATCTCCCGATACGTTTGACGCTGCCTTCAACTTCTTTTCCGAACTGCGAGAACGGGGCCTGAGGCATATGAAGGGGCGAGAAAAGAGAGCTTTTGACAGACAGACTCGTTGGGCGAGAAAATAGGGTGGGTGATTTGAATACCGAGGCCTACGGGGGGACGTCACTAGGCTAGTATCCGATGGGATGATGGCCTTGACCACGCTCCGAAGACGCTGTCCTACCGCCAATTTGACCAAGCAGTAATCTCCGGTCAGATAAGAGATGGCAGTGCGTCGGGCTGAAAATAAATAGTCAGTAGTCAGGAGGAATCAGACTTCGAAGGGCAGTTACATAACAGTGGTGTATCAGAGCACGAAACTCTGAAGAATCAAGCTAGCTGGAGGATACAGTGATTCACAGGTCTGCTGTTTAGGGAGAAGATAGAAAACCCCTGGAGTACGGAGGATTAATCTATCGTATCGGGGTCCACGAGGAAGTCTAGATTGTTCTTGCCTTGACAGCCATCTACTTAAGTTTCACACGTGCATACACCCCTGCTAGTATGTGCTAGACTGCGATACCAAGACCGGGCTTTAATACAATAGGATTGTCGACTACTCGAACTTCCTGTGACACGCGACAGTAAAGGATCGGAGGGAAGAGCGACGCGGAGGTTCGAGAAGCAGGGTTGCTAAGCGAAACACGTAAGCACATTTGGTGCCTGCGTTAGTATGCCCGCATTTAGTGAGGCCTGCATGGGTTCATGTAACTAGCCCGAAGAAGGTAGTCTACGCGATGCCGGCCCGGTCAGGCCAATCTGGCATCCAAGCTGAACTCGACTCAGAGTGGGGAGTGCGGGATCCGATTGCGGAGCTGCTCCATCGACCCACTTCTAGTACTTCGCCAGCTGCAAGTAATTTGAATAGACATCATAGACATCGCTCAATTTGAGATCGGAGTCGCTTCGTCACTGCGAGAGCACAATATGGGTGTTATAGATGAAGTTACACACAGAATTTAGATATGAGTTCTTGTATACAAAAAGAAAAGGAATGAATCTTGCCAGAAGTACACAGCGCTGTGCGTAGACGTGATGCGTACATGTGTTGAACACGATTACCATCGTTAAGCATTATCATCGAGATGACGAAAGTCTGTTGTATGAAGACATGATAAGAATATTAATCGAATCGAAGGAAGAACTAGAAAAAGTTCTTATCGTCGGTCGTCGACCGGTCAGTCGTCGACCGTTCGATGTTCGAGTTTAAGTCTCGAGTAAGGGAGGCAGTAGATTTGTCGCTACCAGGCGACGTGTAGACCACACCGTGGTTCTTCAATTCCACATGATGTGTAGGTGTTGCAACCCGCATATGGTTCGAGATTGACGAGGGCTGATTGCTGTCGGCATGCCCGGGCTTCTTGATCTCAGACCATGTCTCCATCTCCACCGTGCGCAGAACCTCGAACCGATCGACATTGGTGTCGCCTTGATAGCCATATTGCCGATCTTCAATTCTTGATTCTTTGGTAGGCCCACTCGAGGACCACCCCTTTCGTGGAAGGCTCTTGGGGCCATAAGACGAGGCATAGCGGCGACTGGACTGGAGAAGACGGGGCAGAAAGAAGGTGACAAGGGGCCTCAACGCAGGAGCAGAAGCACAGATCTAAAACGGGTCAGACGGAATTGAATCAGTCACGAGGAGGTGATAGCATACCAAGCCCATGCTGATCTCTATTGAAGCAGCGAGAAGGACAGGCCAGCCCACCCAAGTAACATCATATGAAGCCACCATGCTCTTCCAAACGTAGACTGTCCGGATGGAGCCAGCAACATTAACCACAATTCCTAATCCAAAGATGGAGATAACAGCAACTCGCTGTCGAGTAGGCATCTTCAAACTCCAGATCAATGGCATTGGGAGCACAGTGGTGAGGAAATCAGTGAAAATGTTCACGACACTGGCTGAGAACACAGCAGCACCGTCGTTGAGGCAATGGAAGGGGTATGTGGGTGCCACTTCCCAGTATGCACGTATTGGCCTGATTTATCAGTACGAGATCAGAGCTTTTAGGAGAGAAACTCACGAGCATTGGAAGATGGAGATGAAGAGAAACAGAAGACAGCATATTGCCACGATGACCATGCCGATGATCAGCACAATGTTGTAAGAGGAATATAAACCTTTGCTCCCGGCTCCAAGCAAACGCTTGCAGAACCACAACAAAGAAAGCTTTGTGATACTGGACGACAAGGAGAAAAGCATTTGGAACGCGAGGTTGAGCTTGTTGACAGTTGGCAACCAAGAGGGTGGGATATCCCAGATATGCCGAGTCCAACCGTAGTTTTCAGTTGCTATAGATGTTACAGCGCACATTCCAATTGCGAAAGCCTGGCGCACAATTGTTAGGGCCTAGGTATTGAGAGTTCTGCGACCTAGTACTCACAAGGGCCCAAATGATGAGGATATCATCGAAACCGAAAGTGCACGTTATTCTCAAACGCGTGAAGAGGCGGAGGCAGGTCACAACAAATGCGACGCTAAGGAGGACAACGCTGACGATAAGCACATAATTTCCACGAGTCACAGGGTCGACATAGTTAGGCGTGGGCCATGTCGCCAGGACACTGGCGGGTGGAATTCGCATGTTAAGACGAGGTGATTCGGATGATGGTTCGAGCAGGATTCAGTTGCCGAATTGCTTTGATGGAGCGAAGGGTTGTTCAAGCACGCGGTCGTTCATTTGGAAATTAAGCATAACCACCAGCAACCCCGGGCAGATAGTTGCTGATCACATTGGCCATAATCACGATCTGATATCACTGAAAAGGTAACGTGGTGCGAAGAACTATCGCAATGGCGGACTGAGTACGAGTCACTGACGCCACTTGCTAGTTGACAGCTTCGATGAGGGGGGCGACGGGGGATATAATATAGCCAGGAATGAGGTACCCACTCCCAGCTTTTGAAATGCCGTCGATTCAGGTCCTGGTCCCTTTCTCCAACCATGAATTGCCCGTAGCCAGCCCACCTTGACATTTTGACTTTGGCTGGGGCAACCAATTTCAGATCGATCCCAGAAGAGCTAAGAAACAAGTCAAGGTCCTCCAATGAAGCCAGTGGGTCTGACTCCACAATGGGGTAGTATCGGCCAGACAATGGCGAGGAGGGGGACCACTGGGAGAGAGAATCGCCGGGGGTTTCACGGGGTGCACAGGACAGCAACAGGCAGATCCGTTGAACCGTCGTTCACATTCTGGCGGAATCGATCTAATGCTTGTAGCGAGTGAGCCATTAATCACCGGCCCAAGTCTAGATGGTCAGCTTGAACCAGGGTGCCAAAGTCTATTCACCCATAGTCAAGAACTGACCTGAAATTTGCGGGTTTGCGGGTTTGCGGGCAGAGAATCATTTGCTGGCTGTTCAAAGCGGTTCTCCAACGAGAATCCGTCAGCCTCCAACTAGAGTAAGTAGGTAGTTTGAAAATATGGTCGAGGGCAATTTTCAGGAGACAACCTGGTGGATGTGAAATCCGATGTGATGGAGGAGATGGAGGAGGAAGAAGAGGAATAGTGCTCCACACAATCCATAATCCACATTGAAGATGAGCTCGTGGTGTCTCCTCACTTAAGCGGGAATTAGTGGAAGTTACTAGTAGGCAGTGGAGGTGGAGTGACTTCGGGAGGGAGGGAGAATGGCCAACTTGGAAGTCTGGTGGCGCTCGAGACAGATTCCGGATGGGGAAAGGGTTGCCCCGCGGCATGCATACACCAATCTCCTCGGTACGAAGTACAGTACAGTACCTTCACTACTACCCAGTCCTACTACCGAGTAACTACTTAGTAAGTTACTCACTATACACATGCTTCCTGCTGCTGACGTTGCATCTGCCATCGGCAATTGTGCTGCCATCCTCATGGCATGCACTTACTCGTTCCTGCATCCTGCATCCCACTATGCAGAAAAAACCTTGTCATTCCATTGATTCTGTCAAGTCTACTCCCCACAAAACATGGTTCTCATTCCAGCTGAGAGAAGATCGTTCCCCCTGAGATTGCCAATTGAATAGTACGAAAGAAGACTCCGAAACTAGACTTGACACTGAACAGGTGCGAACGCAGCACTGATCCTTCTACAACAAGGTCAAACATATACTACCCGAGTAGTATGAGTAGATACTCGCAGACATACGCAGCGACAGTACGAACTCCTCTGGCATGAGATCCACCCTGCCTGAAGGGGCTAAAGATAGGATTCTAAAACGGGTTACCGATCAGAGCACAAGTGGAGCGCATTACTCCATCAGATACTCGGCTGTGACAATCATGGGCCGCAGCCTGCTTTAAAGTTTTTAACCTCAATGGTCATCTAGCCCTGCGAAATAGTGCAAACCCCGAAATTCTGAGGACCTGGCCCTGCCGGCACAGCTGGCAGTCTTACCACTCGGTCGCAATGACAAATTCTTGACATTAGCTATGACCGAACTTTCTCTTGATCCATTCCCTGAATTTAGTCAAACGGGAGCTTTCATCGGCCCTACAGTCGTCCGGCAATCTCTGACAGAGAGTGCCGACAGCCACCGCGATAAGCTTTATCGAACCATCGGGAGCGGTCGAACCATGGAGGTCACGCCACACTCTTGTAGGTTGGATGCTTCAATCGCAGGCCGGCACGGTACCTACACGGTGGAAGAGTACCCGTCCGCTCATCCGGGGAGGATACAGCTTCCGATTACCAGCCGCTTGAACTGGCGAACGCTTTGGGTGGATGGCCCCAGCAGTTTTTGCGATGACCCTGCCTGACTCTACGCGTGTCCACTGCGCTCACAGAGACGGCTGAGCTCTCCTGTGCATTGTCTGTTTGTAGTAACCCTTGAGAAGGGCTATTTTTGTCTTCGAAGGCATCAACTACTTCAGAAACACGAGAGCTAGCTTCAAACCTCGGTTTCAGGATGAGTGCACATTGTTTGATTGTCAGCTCAGGTGTGACACCATACTATAGGTGTATCAGCACGGCGCTGATCAGCTTGCATTCTGCACTGGTGATCGAATATACAAATTTCGATAGACAGATCCTCCACCTGGGTAGGTTGATTGTGGCACCAGCACCTATGCCCCTACTCGACTGCCTATATCAGCATCAGGCTGCCTTCTCGCCATGCAGTTGGAGTAATAGACTATCAGGTACAAATTGACTCGATGGAAGTACTCCCAAGCTGCAGCACCAGATTCTGATTATTCAGTCTTTCCGTTTCCGGCAAGAGTTCACCCTGCGGGTGGGGCGTGCTGCTGCCCGGTCGATCACCCCATTCAACATTCTTCTTAATGGGGTTTCCTCGGCTCTGGCTCGTGGATGGCGATCTCGCGCCACTACGAGTACGATAGTATGTGTACGAGTAGAATGAAGGATCTGGTCTCAAAGTTGGGTCAAATCCAACGGTATACCGTTCTCGGACCCTAACCTTAACCACCCTCGTGGAACCGGGCTAGATCATGACGTCGGAAAAGCAAGAGCGCAGTCTCCAAGAAGGATCTACCGGCACTGCTCGGATTAGCATACGACTTTATACATATATACTTTATTGATCTCTCCGATCAGCCTTTACTGCAATTTCGGACGGAGTACCACGGAATTGCTTTTGTTGACCACAGCTTCAACTTGTGATACTCTTTTTTTCTCCTTAAAAAAAGCTGGAAAATGGCTCATCCTAATGTCATTATCAATGAATGAAAGCTGATCATCGAAAGCAAGGGTTGACCCCCCTGAATCCTTTGCACCATTGGAGGTGATCATGATGGATTGGTGACTCTTCGACCAGCTTCCTCCTGATCAATAGGCTTCGAAAGTGGACCATACTCCAGCATGGATTCATAGTCCGGGATCTTTCGCGCCCAACCGCCAACCATCCCTGGCTCGTCATATGATCCGAATCACTTCACAGAAGGAATTCGCCCTTCGTTTTCGCAACCTGCTCATCATAGTAAGGTTGAAAAGCCAACCATCCTTTCTCCGGCCCCCCAACCTGCAAGGCCGCATAAGAAGCCTCCTCTTCGTCAATAATGATCTTCTCGTACCCCGCTGCGGATGCCGCATCGGCCAGGAGTTGAGCCTGGCAGGTTTTGTCCAGACTGATAAACCAGAATGCCGCTTCATCGACACTCTCCCCCACCGTCAGCAGGCCATGGTTCTGCAGAATCACCGCTTTTCCCCCACCTAAAGCGGCAACGATCCGCTGTCCCTCCTCCCGGTCTAGAACCACACCTTTGAAGTCCCGGTAGACGCCATGGCTCTTGTAGAACCGCAGTGCGTCCTGCGTGATCATCTCCAGCTCGCGGCCAAAGCACGAAAAGGCCTTGCCCGCGACGCTGTGGGCATGGCACGCGGCGTTCACATCCGGTCGGGCTTTGTGGATCTCCGAGTGGATGGCGAACGCGGGGGCGTTGATGGGCTCATCGCCTTCGACGACCAAGCCATCCTCGTCCACCAGTATCAGGTCGGAGACTTTGATGAGAGAGAAGTGTGCGGAGAGGGGGTTGATCCCTGCGGCGAGGTCCGGACACGTTAACGGTCTAAGACACATCCACACAAACCAAACCTCAAGCCGGGGGAAGTGGTCCTCAAAGCTTACAGAAATGATCGGTGAGAATAGGATCTCGGACGGAGATGTGGCCCGCCACACCCTCGTCGAAGCCACGATCCGCAAAGAGACGAAACGCCGCTGCCAGGTGCTGCTTCCGGTATACTCGCTCGTCCTCCAGGCTCTGGAACTTGGGGTATCGGCGCACTTTCAGATCCCTGCCATCCTTGGTCTTGCCGAGGACCTGTAGCTGCGGTGGAATGTCGGATCTCTTGCCGGGTTTATTCGCCTCGGGTTTAGGGTCCGATGCAGTCACCGATGGAGCCATGATTCCGATCGTAGATAGAGTGTAATTCGAAGACTGTGATATCCAAAATCAATAAATAAAAGACAGGGATTCGCCCACGACAGTGGAAGGTAATAATAAACTCGAGCTCGATCCTGGAGAAACTCGGACACACATATACTCACTCAACTTGTTCCTCCCTCGGGAAGAGTCGCTTCAGATCGAACTAGTTACCCCGCAAATCCGTCGACATTTCCACGCTTGGGCTCTGGCTTTTCCGGTCCTCGATAGCACCCTGGAAAAAAGGGATCAGCACCGTAAATCGACGCTCCTCGGTGGAATGAACGCCGATGTAGACGCACACATACTCACATCGCAAGTCACATGTAACTATATTCAACTTGGAAGGACCTGCCCTACCCAGCCAGCCATGCTCAAAGATATACCGAGCGAGACCCAAGTCCAGCGCGCTACCCAGCCGTACGGAAAGGGGAAAGCCCACCCCCTCACCGTGAGGGGGGAAGATATCCGCTCTTGGCCCACTGTTATAGTGAAAAAAGTGTTGTGCTCACGCTCGGGGTCTGTTGGATCTTAACGGGCACGGGCAAGGGCAAGGACAAAGTGGGCGATATGCAAGGTACAGTACCTGGGTGAAGCGGGTCGCGTCCAGTTCTCGATGCAGGGGTTCAGATGTGGGTGTGTTCGGCTCAATTGGGGTTCTGGCAGTCATACCTAGTAATCTGTCGCTCAGGTGAGATTGCATGGTACTAGGTATGTATGGTTAGTTACCGGTATCAGCAGCGACTGGTGGTTGTGGAGGGGACGACAGGGAAACACAGCAGATTTGAATGTGTAAGGGATTTCTGGGTTGATGCTGGATGATTGGGGGGGCAGGTGGAGGGTAGGCGCGGGTTGAGGTGGATGGCAGTGGACCATATGTTCTGCAGCTTGACTTGCCTGGTATATCAATCTTCCCATCCGGGCTGTATGTATGAGGTCGGTCCCAGGGTGCAGCGCATGGGCCATCAGAACTGCGCTACTGTATCTGTATGTCATATCTGATGGATTGACTGGGGTCGGTGGGGATATATTCGCGCAGCATGACTTGGACTCCACCCACACGTACGGTATAGGATGGTACTGCACAGTGCACAGTGCACAGTGCACAGTGCACAGATCCACCCTTTCCATCAGGGTTTACTGAGTCGGATAAGAGAACAGTTTCCCAAGAGATAGCGATCTAGCCAGTATGCAGACCGAGTGATACAAACTCGGATATGTGAGTGAATTGAGAGTATATTGACCCCATTTTATGCCTATATCCACCATCTACATATAGAGATGAACCGATACAACTCTTAATCCCGAATATGGAACAAAAATAAACCCGAAGACAAGCCAATCCGTACAGACATCTAACCCGTCCATCCATCATTTATGAGGCAACCCTTGCCCAACGACAATTAACACCAGACTCGCATGCTCGAAAAAACGAAGACGCCCGATCCCAAATTTTGGTCCCCCCTCACTGCAGTGACAGATGCACATTATCCCCCCAAACTTCAAACTCTTCTATCATAATATTGCACGGCTCACGACAACTCTCAAACCGACGACTGCTTGCTGCTCATACTTCCGACCATGGTCGTCGTCTCCGACCCTGCTGGGTCCGTGTTGGCGACGACTTTCGACCGCAGGGCGGCGCGGATCTCGTCGACGGAGCGTTCCTTCCACTCGTTGTAGCCGGAGGTGCTCAGAGGGAAGAGCACAAAGTTATCCTCGCGGACACCAAACTCGTCCAACTTGGGCGGGGGCATGGCGGAGATGATGTCGAGCTCGTTGGCGAGTTGGCGGCAGTAGGTCTCCAGGGGCAGATCATTGACGTCGTGTCCGAAGGGGTTCTCGATTTCGCTGCCGATGAAGGCAAGGCCGAGGATGATGTATGCGGCGACTGAAGTTGTGAGTTAGTAGAGTTTTCGATGTAGGCACAATAGCATCAGTACACACCAATAGAGCCGGGAATGGTGATCCAGCCCAGGTAGTTGTACATCTGGAAGGGAAGAACCATGACATAGATCCAGGAGATCTGGGCGATGGAGATGGTGTATGCGGCGGGAAGAGGGGTATCGAGGACACGCTCCGTTCCGGTAAGACATTCGTTCAAGCTAGAGATACCGTTGACTTGCAGGGTATTAGCATGAAAGCATAAAATCACAAAAAAAGCCGGGAAAGCGTACTGGCTTGACTTTGGTGAAGACCGCAGGTCAAGGTTCCGTTGCCAATGCAGCGGTCGATGTAGGCGGACAGGTGGTTCAGGATCTCCAGCGGCAGGTGTCCCAAAGGCTTCTTGGACCGCTTGATGAGCTTGCGTGGGTTGGACTCTGCAAACGAAACTCCCAGAGATTCACCGATCTCTTTCCAGACAGACTTCTTCGGGGGCTGCAGGACTTGACGGTCGTGTGCCTCTTTTGCAAAGGTGTCGAGGTGACCAATCAGGCCTGCCAGATCTTCGTAGCCGACATCAGGCTCGAAACGCAGCTTATGTTTGAGGGCGACGGCAAAGGCAAGGATGAGGTTGAAGGCCGTCCTACTAATGTTAGCATATGCATTTTTTGACTTTGTGATCCGGGTAGCATACAGCTTCGCCAGCAGATCCTCTTTTCCTAGTTCTCCCTCGCGCTCAGCTGTATTTACCCAGATTGTCCGTGCGAGGTTGCGGGAGGTCTGGATCAGCAGTGCCCAGTATTTGCGTCCGTCCGCCCATCTGCCATGCTGTTAGACCTGTACTGTTGAACCGAGATCCAATTGGCCACAACTTACCTCTCATAGGCGGTAGAACTGCGGAACGAAAGCGCCAAACTGACCACGAAACCGGTGATTGTGAGCAGAATACTATTGATGCCAACTAAACACCCAACTATTAGAGACGCTCTTCCAGCACATTGACAGGGCGAACTCACGAGAATGTACGAAGCGAGAGATGCAGGTGATCGCAGTAGCCCAGAGGGCAACCAAAAACAGGGGGAGAATCATTTTGGGCATGATACTGCCGTGCATCCGGAAGGCGAGGGGCCATTTGGAGTGTCTGTCGAGATCACGGGGGCCATGCTATACACTGCAGTCAGCTTCCCAGCTTCCCACGGGTTAGAGGTAGTCCATCACTGCATCGATGACATACAAAATATCGATTGAGTTCGCTCGAATTGCGTCGGTCAAGCATGAATTGTCTGTCGCGGGAATTGGCGAGATTTTCTAGGAAGCTGGGGCGTGGCGTCAAGCGGCCGGGCCGGAATGTTTTCTCTTGTACATTGGCGGAGGGTTCATTCTTCGCAGTTTGGACCGGCGCGATGGGAGGCTGCTCCTGGTGTCCTGCTTCTTCCGACATGGTTGCTGGAGGTGATGCACGATAGTGTGTAGTAGAGAATAATAGGAGGGACAAAGACGGTGAACAGTAGGAATTATACGGCTCGATACGGCTCGCACACAAAGGACCTGCCTTGGGAGACGAACGACGAACTGGCTCCACAGAGAAACCGAAATCGGGAGACTAGTCAACTAGTTTGAATTGACTATGGGAATTAATAGCGAGGGATGGAGTAAGGATACCACTCCGAAAAGTGACAAAGTCAGGAGTGAGAAGGAGGAAGATTTGAAAACGAAATCTGGGGAGGGGGGGGAGGGGGTTTGGAGCCGAATCGACGCTTAATATGAGTTGAGGAACTACTCAAGTACTAAATTTAAGCGTTGGTCACACATTGGCTCTAGTCTGGAGCAAAGAGAAAAATATTATAGGAAGAAACAAACGCAAATAGGGTGTATTCTGGACCATGGGCGAGAAGAAGTGTCAGTCAGTCAAGTACGTGTACGACTTGCGTACTCGTACAATACGGGGACTGTACCGCGTATCCTGTCTCCTCTTTTATTGCTGTACAGCCACTGCCGATGCAAATAAACAAAAGTCAATGGAAGAAGTTCCCACAGACTCAAGAAGAAGTTCCGTTCCGTAACAACAGTTGGAACGGGGCGGGGCATTGGCGAGGGCGATCGGCATCTGGCCGGAGGTACTCAAGTAGATTTGGTGGCCATTGGGAGATTTGCCAGTTGGCTCGCCCACGCCACGCGGGCCAAAACGTCACATCCGTTCACAGGTTCAGAACGGCTACTGCCGCCCCATCGCGCTGCTCAGTGTGATTTGTTGATTTGTTGGTTGTCAAAAGGCCAGACCGTCGGGTTTTTGAAACACTGGCTCACTGGCGGGCTGGCCAATTCAATTCTTCTGCTTCCCGTCCCCTGCGCCTCCTTCATCCGTCCTGTCACTATTCTCGTTGTGCACCGAGGAATTCTAAGAATTCTCTGTGCCACAGACTTACTGTGTACATATTCGCTGGAACCCAAGGGCTCGATTCCATATTTCCACCATCTTCAGCCCTCTGGAAAGGCAATCATCGGGAGTGGCGGCAAAAACAACCCGAACCCGCAGCCATGGCTTGAAGTTTGCTGGGTTGGCTTGTCATCCCTCCATTCCTGCATGCAGGGGCAAGCCTCGTAATATTTTCCCCGAAAATAGGTTCCCTCCTACAGGTAGACAATGAAACCGAGCTGCATCGGTCCAATAATAACACGCCCTTGGCAATAACTTCGATACGGTGTACTCCGAGAGTTGAGTCCGGGACCCTTAAAAATAGTAGCATCTAGCGTTCATGGGGAATTGGCTCGGAGGACGACCAATGCGTTGACTGTGTGTACCAGGTAGGTTGGTCAAGTACTGATCTCTGCTGCATTTCAAGGGTTCCGTCTGTCTGGTACTATTCGCATCAGGGAAGAACTGAAAGAAAGTCTACTCTGTACCACACCTTACTCTGTATGAGAGAGTCTGAGGCGAGATAATGATAGATCAAATCAACTATCCTCTCACCCACATCAAACATCCGTTTCATCATCCCGTAAGCCTGCATGAAGTGGCTTGCGCCGTTCTCGTTGGTAAGCCCATGCCGCATGCCCATGCCATGCCCATGTCAGGCTTCGGGCGTCAGTCACTTACAGCACATCAGCCCCTGATTTTCCCTTTCCCCCCCCCCCTTCTTTTTCTTGGGCTCTCCTTGCCAAGTCTCCCTGGATAGTTTAATTAACTTACCACACACCACACGCCACACACACCCTGCAAATATGACAGTCACGTTGTGCTGTTCTGTTTCATGTTTCGAGGTCTCGGTTCGATAGTTAGGGTGTACTGTGTATTTATCAGCTCTTTGACCTTTCTTTCAGGGACTGCAATGTTGTGGAATGGCATGCATTCCGCGAAGAACAGACCTTTCGTAATACAACTAGATCATGGTACAGTAGTAGCCTTCCGCAGAATGGGGAATCGTGCGTGTGTACGGAGTATCAGTGTTCGCAAGGCTGATCAAGATACTCCATTCCGAGATAAACCTGGAAAGCGAGCATTGCTAAGTCACTTTACTGTTGGAAGGTGTTGACGCGACATGTCGCAGGTTGAGGGGGCGAAGCAGGCCAGCGGTCAACTTGGCTGGGGGCAATGGACAAAGCACTGGGTTGCACTGACTCTCGCCTACGGGCTGTGCGCAGTCAATGCAGGGGCCGGGGTATCTTGCTGCATTTTCGGGGTATTATCCGTTGCGCGATAAGATTCGTTAGTTATGGCTTCAATTAAAGGCTTGTAGCTCACACTAAGTGTATATATATAGTCGTGTGGTTGTAGTGAGTCTCGTGCAGCAACTCCAAAACCTATCGATTGAAGGCTGGTGGGATATTCGTCTATCTTACAAGCTAGTCTTACAGGTAAAGAAGATCAGAGGATATGCTGGGGTTCATCTTGAGCTTGGAGAGGGGAGGAAGGAGTAGATACAGGCTGTCTAGTAAGTCTTGTGCCGGCGTCTACAATCGCACCATATTTCTCTCTCCCCCGAGCAACTAACGGACTATATACACCTCGGCTCGAGTCGATTCCCCCAACCAAGACAAACTGCTTCTCAACAAATCTACCAAACGTCCACCACAACCCTTTGCCTATTGTTACATAGAGCCGAGTCCGTCCGGCAAAAGAAGGGCTGTTGCATGGTTATCACCAGTTCACCCACCACGCAACCATTCAATATCCATACGCTAGGCATCGTGCCGGAACCGCTGTGTGTATGGGACCCAGGCAAACCCCAGAGATGGCCGGGCAGTTGGTGTAGAACACGGATGCAGCTCCAGTAAACGGAATGACTGTTGCCTCAGTCACCGAGCACGCTTCCGCAGCACCTGGGCAGGTAACGCATAACATGCGCAGTCCAGCAGCGAGTCGATGGTTCAGACCTCTCCTCAGATGAACGGCCCAATTAATTCATAAAAAAGCTATACCAATTCCAGGCACTCACGGAACGAACATATCTGCGCCGGAACCATTCACCAGCGCCTGGAGGAAGTTTCCCTTGGCACAAACCCGCCAGGCAACGTTGCCAGCACCATTCGCATCGCCCGACGAACTGCTACCCCCGACCCACGAACTCAACGCTGCGACGACGGCTGATGCATCCGGTGCGGGGACTCGAATCCAAATTGTCTTGGCATTTGTGCCGGTGGAAGGTTCGATCTTCAATATATCAATCGAAATGGCCGTGCCGGAAAGCCCGAGGAATTGGTTGAGTGCGGCGGAGAGGTAGGTGCGCGCGGTGAGAGGGTCGAGTGGTTGAGTGAGGGTTGATTGGGAGACGGGAGGCTGATGCGTTCTGTGATACAATCAATAAATGAAGTTCATAAGACAAGAGAGAGAGCAGAAAGAAAAACATACAATTGGAGTTTGAGGTAGGTCCAGAGGGGATTGCGCGTGGTGAATGTCAAGGTTGGTGTGGAGGAGGTTTGCTCGGTCGGGGCTTTGCGCTTCGCGCTCTCTGGTTCTGCTGGGTGAGATTGTGACGTGGTGGACATTTCGACTGATGTTGAGAGTGATCCTGGTATTAAGCTGATTATAAAGATAACTCTGGTTTCCTTTTCGTGGAAAGTAGGTTCGGTAAAAGGCTGTTGAACTGCGGTACAATCGGAGGATGAAAAAAAGTCGGGGAGTTTCCCGTCTTCCGTGATGTCACGGGCGCGACCGCCGTTCCCGCTATGTGTCTGGCAGCAGCTATCGGTCGAAGATAATCCCAACCACCAGATCTGAAGAGCGATCAGATCAATGCCTTTCTCAACCTCTCATGCGCCTGTTGAATGAAAAAGGCTTCGGACTGGGATCCGATCTCCAGATTAGCGATGCTGAGGATCTTGTCGCGCGACTTGAGCCCCCGGATTACCTCCACGTCTGACTTGGGCACTTGGAACGCCTGAAATTGTTAGTTGGTATCAGCTAGATCAAGGACGGTACTGTACTCTGCTACGAGGGACCACAAAAACACGGAAATGAAGGGGCAGTTACTTGTGCGACAATGCGAGATACAGCTGCATTTGCCTCGCCGTTCCGGGGCACTGCGGCGACGCATACAGAAACCCGGTCTGCACTTATGTCGACAATGCCTTCCCGGTTGTTGGAAGCGTTCGGCTTCACATTGCAGGTTATCTGAAGGCTGTACCGCCTGGGTAGTTGAGATGCGACACGGGACTTCGGGGTTACGGCCGGAATCAGACGGAGGATAGGGGGTGTAGTCATATTTGAAATGGAATGATTGATTGACTTCTTGGAGAATCGAACCAGACAGAAACTTAAGATAGCAATTTTTAAGCGCAGTACTCTGTATAGTACGCTTGAATGAACACTGGAAGTGCTAATCTTGTTTTGACTGATTAATGCAGTGGGAGGGAAGAAAGCACTAAGTATCGGGAATTTGTCTTGGCTCATCCTGTTATTGGTTGCTGTATACTTCTAGTCCGACTACAGTACCCGAGTCAATATCAGGTTCTTCAAGACCACACACTATTCTTACTACAACTCCTTGGCCGCTAAGCAGTCCTCCTCTAACAAGTCCACTGTCAAATCATCATGAAAGCAAATCCAGAGTTATAGAAGGTAACAGTCGATGACGTAACTGGTGTTACTCTGGTGTGTTGCTGACACCATACGCTAGAAAGAAATAAGATCTAGTTATTGTTAAGCTACGTGCAATTACAAAAGAAGCTTATCATGTTAACAGTAGTGAGGATAATCATCAAAGATGGGGGATACACAGCTTTGAGGTGCTCGGCCTCTTCCGAATTGATATTGTGACAGCTAATTGGAAGCACATTTGAAATCTCCTAGAGCAGCTCAACCGCCTACTATAGATTAGCTAGGTTCTTAAACTTTGATAAGACCTACTCCAAAGTTCTAAAGCAGAAGAGGGTGGGATAACTTTCGAATACAGTGGCAATTCCCAGCCACTCGATTTCATAAGGTGGGTCCCTTGGGACAAAGAAAGACCTCTAGTACACAGTACAAACTGCAAAGCTCATTGTCTGAAGCTTTCCCCGGCTTTCTTTGTGTCTGGATCCACATGCGGGTCCATAGAGGAAGAATAGAATCACCTGGTAGATATAGCTATTGTCAAGACTTCTCACAAGCTTATTTGCCCGCTTCGAATAAGACCTAGGAGTTCTCACAGGGCTTCACTTGGTCACAATGTGTGCGTGGCTGGGCTTTCGAAAGAGGTTGACACCTCACGGCTACCGCCCGTTGCTCTGGTTTCGCAGCAAAAGAAAGTTGTATACTTGCCTTTCTGTATAATAGCTCTCATAGCAATGCACCCTTTCCCGAGCCAGAATCTTAGTGAACGTGCAATTCATACATTGTCCAGCAGTACATTGACTGTTAATGATTTTGCGAGCAATGATATCGCATTGTCAAGAGACTCCGAGTGAAGCGAGCGCATTTCGCGAGTAGGCTAGAGAGCTCTATTCACATTTCATTGAGACTTCTGAAACATCTACCCCAATTGAAGCCCCAAGTCCCAGCCCCCCATAAACGAGTCACCGACAGAGGAGGTGTTCCGACACAGAATATCTACCCTCATCCTTGCCTGCTCTCCTTTCTCAACAATTCTCGACCAAGACTGTCTTCGTATCTCACATCAACTCCGTTCTCGTGAAAGCCCTCAACTTCGTTCGGCTTCGAATTAGCTCCTCTTTCTCATAAATTCTCATCTTCTTGTTCTTGTCTTTACTCGAGCATCCTCTCTATCGAAAATTCCTCACAGGTTTGAGCAGCTTGTGCTGAGACCCTAGTAGCTCTCTCGTCAGAATGAATGTGCCACTGGGATTGAGCCAGACCTTCAACGTCGGGGGAAACAACCAAACCACCCAAGGTATGCCCGTGGCCCTGCGGACCAACCAGACGTTCAACGTCCAGGGAATCAACCAACCCAACGAAGGTATGACCATGGCTCTGCAGGCAAGGCTGGCCGCTGACGACAATAGGAACACCAGCATCAAAGGTTGCTTGCGGAGATGCAAGCTCTGTGTCAGAGCACACCCTTGCTGAGCAAGAGGATTGGTCATGGGACAATCTCCCCGAAATCTTGTATCAACTCCATCCCGTCGGGTCCAAGAGCAAGGCCAAGATAGGGAAGAAAACATATCCGATCAACGGAAAGTACTTGAAAGATATTCCTGTGCTGCCTGACCAAATTCCCACGGATGTTGAGGAGTTTCGGGTGGAGGCTTGGGTCCGATTGGACCGCCGCATTCGACTTGAGGACATCCTCGACAGAATGCCCAAGGGCCACACTGTTAGGCCCAATGCCCTCCAGCAAAGAGGCGTCCGATTTCGTCAAGCGTTCTCCCTGTGTGCCTGGGACTCCGGAAACAAGAAGAGCATTGCTCTGGGTAAGGAAATCGAGGAGAAATTGGAGGCCGCAGGCATCCGCCTCGCCCTCAACACCACTCGTGGCCTTACTCCAGGCTTGATCAACCCAGTCCTAGGAGAAGCTGGCGGCAGAATTCCCCTTCCAGCATTGTACCAGGGCAAGAAGCTGGCAAAGAAAATCTCCAAACACTCGCAAAAGAACAAATCGGACGTCCATAGGACTGAAATACCAGTCTCGACATCTGCCAACAAGCAAGCTCCTGGGCTTGTTGTGAAGGAGCGTGCATGGATCGGTGAGTTTAGCCAGGCCCTGTGTCGATTTCGTACCTTGACTGCAGATGTGTCTCGGGTCACATTGGTAGCGTTGAGCTAACGACCCTTGTCTTTCTCTTAGAGCCTTTGTGCCATCCGTATGATACCGAGTTAGATATCAAAGATGAGTTCCAGTGGACTCAGACGGATGACTTCTTTGCTTCTTTTGGGATGCCTCTCTTTGAGGAAGAGAAGATCGCGCTTCGTGCCAGATGGGCACCACTTTCAGAGGACACTGAATTGACTGCAGATGCGCAGGTGTCAAGCATCGTCGACATCGAGGACTGGACTTTGGGGTTCGACTCATTTGACTACGAGTCAAAGTTTGACTTCGAGTCAAAGACTCAGCCTACAGAGAGCCTCTTTGACAAGATCATGCAGGAATATCATGACCGTGAGCCGTGGCGCTTGAGTACATTGTACCGGGAAATGGGCGACGGAGAGTTTGACATTTGATGTCAGCCTTGATGGTCGGAAAGGGCGCAAGCAGCCTCTTCAGTCTCTGGGAATCTGAGAACTGTTAGTATGAATGTGAAACAAAGTGACCCTCCGCTTCATATCGCTGACTTGACTCTCATAGCAGATCGGCAGGTCGATTTATCTCGCCATCCACCTTTCCATTCTGATTCTGCCTTTTGTTTTCTGTCTTCGGTGTTCGGTATGTTCGCTCTTTTCTGTTTGCGCTCAATTGGCTGTTGGCCATTTGGTCATGATCCGTGCTCTGACGCTTTTGCCTCTTCAGCCCTTCAGCCTTCTGCTTTCGATAAAAATCAAAAAGATGATGAAGTAAACGGAGGGAAAGTCGGAACCGGTTCGAAGGAAGGAAATTGATCGAAACTGGATTGAGGAGATGAAGTTTTCATGAGTATTCGGAGGAGAGGAGGAAAGAGAAGAAGTGTGTAATCACCTAAGAGTTGTCTCATGATAGCTTCTTCATAATGAAAAATGGTCTTTATGGGTGAGGTGACCTGGACATCTTCGTAGTTTGCCAATAGTGTGATTCACTCTGAGCTTTCAATATCCTCTCTGCTCTTGACTTCTTGATCCTCCGCGTGAATCTTGCCTCGAGGTTGCGAGTAACGAAGATGGTAGTTTGCAAAGATTCAATGAGGTTGAGTTCTTGATCATGGTGCCTTGCGTGAACATTAGGGGAAGCGTGTCACGAAAGCCGAAATGAGCCGGTATACTAATAGTGAGTATATTCCAGGCCTCAACAGATATTGAGGAGTGCATTGGGGTTATTGCGAAGATAGATATTCATGTAGAACGGAACTATGGCTAGTGGATGCGTAGCTGTCGACCGGTCGAGGAGGGAGTTGCAAGCGGTAGACCAAGCTAGGCGCCGCGGTCATCGAGGTTTCGACAACAGAACCGTCTGTCTTTGGCGCATGCCGTAGAGATATACAAGCATGCTGGCCATTATCACAGGAGGCTGATCCAAGTTTGGTACTCTGCCCGCCACACCCATATAGTTCATGGCTCGAAGCATGCCATATACTTGCGGAGAACTATTTACACCCCATTAAGACTCAAAGCTCAGTGAGCGTATCTGAAGCCATTCATTACAGCCTAGATAGATTCATCCTTGCCCAGCGACCTTTCTGCATGCATGAGTTGAGATCTAGCGAGACGTGGTCAGAGCTGGCATCATGATAGAGGAGAATCAGGAAGTATAAAATGCGGTCTGCACTGTAACTTACAGTACAGTAGTACATCGACCACGTGCACTATTTCTTATCAAGCCACTGTTCCGCCTTATACACCGCTTGTTACTAGTGGCAGAATTCAAAAGGTTCCTGGATGGCGAATTCACGCGTTCCTGTCCATCTTGTTTCTTTTTTTACAGTTTTCCCACTTGCCTTTCACGTATACCTTACCTTTTGCTCTACTAACGTCCCAGGTAACTTTCAATCCCTGGTGTACTCCGTGCAACCGTCTCATTCTCCCATTCACAGGGCTGAAGAACAAATAATTAGCCCTTCACCGATACGACTTCTCTAGCGGATTCTGTTGTTCCAGAACTCCTGCATTTTCCTTCTTGTCCGC